CCCGTAATATGTAGCCAACATTTGGAAGAAGAATGTTTTCAAGATGACTTGGATAATAGCGCGTTGTGACAAACACCAGATACAGCACTGGGACTTGATTAACAGCCGATACCGCACCGTGACGTCACAAAGCAGTAGGGGGCAGTAGTGTTCTTTGACAAACATGGATGCCTCCAGTAAAGCACATTCACATGAAAATTACTCTGAATTAAAAACACTGATCATTTATTGAACAGGATGGAATCATTTCAGATTTAAAGAACTTTACGAAGGACTTTTCCTTTAAGTGCAAGAAAGACGACTGATTACGCCTTTGAAAGTGTTAAGTTAAACAAAACATGCCATGTTTTATTTAATCTGAAGTTAGCAGATTGTTACAATATCAAACCTACTTTACTAACAGGCACTGATCTTTTCAACTGTAATTTTTAAATCCAGTTTAAACATGAACTCCACTGTTTAACAATAATGTAGAGACCGCTTTGTAATTCAGGGCTTTCAGACTTTCCATGAGGTCCAGTGTCCTGCAACTGTCATATTTGTCTCTAATACAACGCACCAGTATCAAATAATTTGATCATTAATAGAACTCTGAGAACTTCTTGCATAATTCATATTCCAAAAAAAAGTTTAAAAAAAAAAAAAATCAATCTACTAGACATTGTTTCCAGGTTTGATGACGTTTCTCTTCCATCCTGGAAGATTTTTCAATTCAAAATGTCAGAAACAGCGTTGAGTTCCAGGTTTTATCCAGCAGCCCAACAAAGCCTGGTTTTTGTTTAGAAATAAAAGAAAGAAAAGAGAATTTGAATGAAACACTTACTGAACAGTATGGAATAATTTCAGATTTAAAGTACTTTCAGAATTTTGGATTCTGAATATGACCAGACTTTTCCCAAAATATTTATTTTATGCTGAAAGTCTTGAAAATGTCATCAAATCCAGACACAAAAACTTCCAGGAGCGCATATTAAAACTACAAAACAAACTTCTTATGGCAGGCGTGGATGAAGAGACACAGATTTTGGACGTAGAGAACGAACTAATTTTCTATTATCCTAATTATCCTTATTACAAAGAACCGCAACGAAAAGAACATGTTTGGCAGTGTGGTCGGAAAATTTTGATTTCTCTTGTCTCATATATTTAGTTATGCAACTATCCAGTGATACATGTTTTACTCGGTTTGTTTCACCTGCAAGGCTGAGAAAAGGTCAGAGTGAGGGGTGGTTTTAGACAAAACAAGCCAAATTCCTGCTCTAGGGTTGTTAAAGTGTGTAATTTGTTTTGACTGACACAACCTTAACAGTTTTTTCCTAAAAGTAAGTAAGGGAGACAAACTCAGGTCTAGTCAGAACAGGGCTGATTACTGTGCGGTAAGGGCTGTATGATGAACTGTTCTCTCTTTGCAAAGATATCATAAATAACGTGCCGTCTGAGTCAAATCCATCGATCTCCGTTTATTAAACTAGGGTTAATAGTTGAATACTTTTTTTCCCCACAACAGGCAGAAACTGCACATATGCTGGATGCTGATGGGGATTTTTTATTACTTAATATTAAATTAAGCATTTATTACCTCGTATTGTTTTCCTATGAATTGCCAAATAAAAATATAAGGTGCTCTCCTCGAGCTCTAAGGAACTCGGAGCGGAGAGAGATGGGAGGAACCGCAGCGGCTGTAGGCTTTGCTTTGAGCAGGCGGTCGGTGCGGGATGGAGGACGCGGGATTTCAGGGGAGAAAACAAACATGAATGCTCATCAGCTCTCGAACAAGTTAAAATATAATCCACAGAAAGTAAGACTATATGTGCAAAGTTAAGTTGAACAGAACTGAGCTTAGAAATAAATCAGGATTTACAGCTTTGTGTGTTTTTGGTTCCTGAGCTATCTCTACAGTTATGCTGCTATAGGCTTAGACTGCTGGAGGACATAGGGACCCCTTTTTCATCATTCTGCTTCATTCTCTCTCTATTCTCCTATCTCTGGAGAATCTGTTAGTTCAATCTCTAACGTTCTGCTCTCTCTGCTTTTTCTCATAGTAGCTTCATCTGGTCTGTTCCTGTTTGGCTGTGACTCCATCCTGGAGAGAAATATCAGCTGTGCTGCTGCCATCAACACCTTTGTTTCTAGATGTTGGAGATCGGCCTGTTTTTCTGAGGGTAAGGGCCGCCAGGACTAACTGCAGCAGCCCTCTCTCGGCATAGCCGTGTGTGAAGGACCGCTGGCTCTGATGGCGATTTTTTTGTTTTATTTGGCAAAATTCTAGTTTGATTTGTTTTTATCTGACTGTGTCCATCATTATTCCCCCACTAAATGAAAAAAAGTAATACTTTATTACTATCTAGAGTAGGGTTGTCACGATACTAAACTTTTCAACTCGATACTGATACTAAGGAAAATATTCGATACTCGATACCATTTTCGATACCACCAGGATAAAAACAAAGACTCCAAAATTCTACAGAAATATTTTCATTAATAAATAAAATACAATAAATAAACACAATAAAGGTTGTATGCTGTGCACAATATTAAGCAAGCTTGATAAAAAACTTATAAAATTAAAATTAAGTGTTCCTTCCTTGGCTATGCTTTGCACACATAACAATGACACTAGCCAAACCGGTTAAGAAACAAAAATAATTCTCAGCAGCTGCACCTGTTACAAAAAAAAAGTCTGAAACTAAAAAGTGCAGAGAATTATTCAATCACACAGTGTTCAGAAAGTGCATTTTCCTCTATTCTGCACTTTAGATGAATGACTGCTTAGGTGCCACTGGTGGTGGCACTGTATCGATACTTTTGAAAATGAGTATTGTATCCGGATACAACATTTCAGTGTCGATACTTTTTTGATTTTCGATACTTTTGACAACCCTAATCTAGAGACTAATAATAACAGGAGGTGAAATGCAGCTCTAGAAGAGCCGAACGTGTGGTGATGTCACGAGTACGCTTCTGTTTCAATTGACCCGTATCTATGCTGCGTGCTCGCGTTCTCCCCAAGACCTAGAACGCGAGTCCGTACTCACGCTCTCGTGAATTGAGAAACGGCCCCTGATTCTATTAAAATTTCTGTATCTGCACAATGGGTCTGTTTTATGTGTTGTCTTCTCAAATCAGAGGGCCCCCTTCCTGTCTTTGCCTAGGGCCCCAGATTTGCCAATGCCTCTAACTCCTAATAAATGGGGATGGATGTGGATCAGATCTCCTAACAATTGGAGATGGATGTGGATCGGATCTAATAATAAATGGGGACGGATGTGGATCGGATCTCCTAATAAACGGGGACGGATGTGGATCGGATCTCCTAATAAACGGGGATGGATGTGGATCGGATCTCCTAATAAACGGGGACGGATGTGGATCGGATCTCCTAATAAACGGGGATGGATGTGGATCGGATCGCCTAATAAACGGGGACGGATGTGGATCGGATCTCCTAATAAACGGGGATGGATGTGGATCGGATCTCCTAATAAACGGGGATGGATGTGGATCGGATCTAATAATAAACGGGGATGGATGTGGATCGGATCTAATAATAAACGGGGACGGATGTGGATCGGATCTCCTAATAAATGGGGACGGATGTGGATCGGATCGCCTAATAAACGGGGATGGATGTGGATCGGATCTAATAATAAACGGGGATGGATGTGGATCGGATCTCCTAATAAACGGGGATGGATGTGGATCGGATCTCCTAATAAACGGGGATGGATGTGGATCGGATCTAATAATAAACGGGGATGGATGTGGATCGGATCTAATAATAAACGGGGATGGATGTGGATCGGATCTAATAATAAACGGGGACGGATGTGGATCGGATCTCCTAATAAATGGGGACGGATGTGGATCGGATCTCCTAATAAATGGGGACGGATGTGGATCGGATCGCCTAATAAACGGGGATGGATGTGGATCGGATCTCCTAATAAACGGGGATGGATGTGGATCGGATCTCCTAATAAACGGGGATGGATGTGGATCGGATCTAATAATAAACGGGGATGGATGTGGATCGGATCTAATAATAAACGGGGACGGATGTGGATCGGATCGCCTAATAAACGGGGACGGATGTGGATCAGATCTAATAAATGGGGACAGATGTGGATCTGATCATCTGCAGTGATCCCCAGCCTCCTGCCTTCATCCATGTCTCAATCCGTGGCTTTCTGGGCTCCAAATAGATTGTTTCCCTTCATTGATCCTGTTTTATCATCCTCTCATCACTATAGCAGCCAGTAGAAACAGATATTTGTGTTCAAATGCAATAAATACAACTTAAAAACACTACTCGAATACAGTTGATAACTATTCCATTCAAAAAACACAAATCTAGTTTCTAAAAGTAAAAATACTTTGACTGGAAAGCAACTGTTGGTTTTTCTTTTGTTTGTTTTTTGCCAGACTTTAACCTCAGTGACAGTCACCTGACATAGTTTGGGTCACCTCGATGATGTAGGCGATAATAATTAGTTATTTTCCCGATAGAAAGCAGCAAAGTCTGGGGTTAGCTAAAGCAAACATAACGGAACTTAGTTCGGTGTAACGCTACGCAGTTACGTTTAAATGGAAACAAAAACGGTTTAATTTGAGATGTATAGACAGGAGAGCGGGGGGTTTATTTTTATTTTATTTATGTCAGTAATGGAGGACCGAGCGAAAAAAAGAGAAAAAGTGTTGGTTTGTGCGTGAGCTAACCCGCTAAGCTAACGGTCGCTCAGGGCAGGCCTGCTACGTTACGCAGCCTTAAAGGGGATTTTTTTTATCCCCCCGACATAAAATGAAGTGTTCCAGAATCGGAACCGCGCTGAAAACTAGAGGCTTCAGAATGGAGCACAACACCCCCCCCCCCCCCCTGCTCCCCGGCAGGAACAACAACCATCGCTTCGGACAACAGCTAACCAGCAGTTCGTGTTAATAAATAAAAACCTCCGACTGGTCTCCATAAAACCCACACATTTAATGGAAATTAAAAGAGTTACCGTTTCATTTTATCTGAGCCCCGCGATGAGAAATAACTCCTGGAATAAAAATGACGTCCAGATTAAAGCAGACATGTTTTCCTTCCACTCCGATACATCTTGGTCAAATCCCTGGAAGTCCTTTCTTCTTTTTTTCCTCTTTTTTTTTTTTTTTAGCCCGTTATGTAGGACAGCAAGACTGCGCTCATTCAGCAGCGCTACGACGAGAAACAGCAGAGAGGAGAGGAGCCTTCAGGGGCCCAAAGCAGCTTCCCAGCGTCCATTCGGTGTCTGGAGTCACATGTGGAAAGCCTGCCTGCCTCAGGATGCCGACCCCCCCTCTTATAGTTTTTTTTTTCTTCGGGGGTTTTGAAAAGCCTTTTCTCCAGGATTATTGACGTTGGTCACATGTCAGCGATGACCCGTTCATTTAGGAGGCATTTAAATCCAGCCCACATGCGGCTCAGCCCCCATCAAGCTCTACAGTTAAAATAATCCTATAAAGTGTTTGAGGCTTATTGATCTGGCCCTCCCACACCACAACACTATAGCAGCATGTGCCGGCACAGCAGTTTTTTTCTTTTAATACTTAGATAAACTGTAGAGAGGAAGAGGGCCTCACAAGGAGCTCATTATAATAATAGATGAGCTATCTCTACCTCAGCTATCTCTATAGTTATGCTGCTATATGCTTAGACTGCTGGAGGACATAGGGACCCCTTTTTCATCATTCTATCTCTATTCTCCCACTCTACAGAATCTATTAGTTCAATCTCTAACGTTCTGCTCTCTCTGCTTTTTCTCATAGTAGCTTCATCTGGTCTGTTCCTGTTTGGTTGTGACTCCATCCTGGAGAGAAATATCAGCTGTGCTGCTGCCATCAACACCTTTTCTTATAGATGTTCAAGATCGGCCTGTTTTTCAGTGTAGTCCTGTTTCTCTGACTCTGACTTGCTGGATGGGCTGTTTCCAGAGATGGGAAGTAACGAAGTACAAATACTTCGTTACTGTACTCAAGTAGATTTTTCTGATATATTTACTTTACTACTTATTTTTATGGCGACTTTTTACTTTCTACTCCTTACATTTTAAAAAATTGGCTCGTTACTTTAGTTTTGAATCATTTCAATGGAGTTACCGTTATTATTTTTCACGTCATCAATACCAAATTCAATCTAATTGGATGGGAATCTACGTTGCATTTGACGCACCGCTACAAGATGAATCGACAGATTCGGCGGTATTCATTGGCGGCAAATCATTGCAGCTTGGTGGCGGTGGCGTTAGCATAGTAGCATGGACAACGAGATGATTGAAAATGAACACAACGGAGATCTAGTCCTATTGGCAGACATCCATTTAAAATGTAGGCAACGGCATGAAAAAAGTGGTTTCTACTTTTACTTTTATACTTTAAGTAAATTTACAAACCTATACTTTGTTACTTTTACTTGAGTAAAGAAGTTTAATCAGTACTTCCACTTTTACCAGAGTATTTTTTAACACAAGTATCTGTACTTTTACTCAAGTACAGAAAGTGAGTACTTTTGCCATCTCTGGCTGTTTCATCCTCTGACATAGGAGCTGGCTAGGAACCCTTCTGCCTGGCTGTGGAGCTGGTTGACAGTTGCTTTTTGTATCCATGCTTCAGGCCCCGTCCACACGAAGTCAAAACGAACACGAAACGCTAATATTTTCCAGAACGTTTGTCATAAAGACGGAGACGTAAAATAAATGTGATCGTCCACACGAATGCATGAAAACACTGCAAAATGTATGCCAGGCCTGTAAGTGGCGCTGTGGTGCCAAAGCAAAAATAGGCGACGAAATGTTGGGCATGCGCACTAATATTTATACATGGTTGCCCTGCGGGTCCATTTTCGTGGTTCAGTCAAATTCAGGTGCTGAACTATGTTGTCTATATTGCTCTGTTCTTCCTGGAGATATTCCAGAAGAAGAAGATTCTGTTGTAAGCCCGACAGCAGGGTGAGTAGCATGAGCAGCAACCTTTCAACACAGTACGGCGCCATTGTTGTTGTGATACTGTGTCGCGCATGCGTGTTTAGAGGCAACGCTATGACGCATGCGTGTAAAAAAAAATTGCGGTTAGAGCTTAAAGATGGAAACGCGAAAACGGCGTTTCAAAATCTTCCCACTCTGAAGGCTGAATAAAAAAAAATCGTTTACAGACCCCCAAAACGCCGGCTTCGTGTGGATGAGAGGCTGGTTTGGTGAAAAATTAGTGCGTTTAGTCCAAGGTTCGGCTTCGTGTGGACGGGGCCTCAGTCTCCTTGAACCCCAGTCGGCCTCAGCAGATGGCCGCTCACACTGAGCCTGGTTCTGCTGGAGGTTTCTTCCTGTTTAAAGGAAGTTTTTCCTCTCCACTGTTCCTACAAGTATGCTTAGTGTGAGGGATTGCATTATAGTCAATGAGTTAATGCAATCAACTGGTTTTCCTTAGATAGAAAACTTTGAATCAATCTGACTGGATGATCTGGTGAAGTGGAAAAGTAAAATAAAAATAAAACAATTACAAGGTTTTAACAACATAAATGTAATATATTATACATACCGGTAAGTATGTTATTTATTACCTACAAACTAAAAAGCTCTGTTGGCGTTGCCTTAATTGCTATTTATAATTTGGCTATGTCACTACCCCGATCCGTACCCGAAGTGCTATGGCAGGCCGTTTTGATATTTATTAGCTTGACTGAATATGTAATCCAGATGTCTCAATGCATTTTTTCCTATCTAAAATGAAAATTTCAGATATCTGAAATGTAATTCTTACGAGTACAAATTATGTCATGTTTCTCATTCAAGTGTATTGGGCTTTTACTGCCAGATATTTAAAATAACATTCTTCCTATCTAAAAATGAATTCTGAACAGATCTCCATAATAGAGTTACTAGTAGTCAAAATTAATATTTCAGATATCAAAATTAATATAAACATTACAGATATCAAGAAATTAAATTCTTGATATCAAAAATATATTTCTGCTAGTAGAAATTTTAATTCAGATATCAACTACGTATTTTATCACTAGTTAAATTATAATTTCAAATATCTCCATTTTAATAATCTCTATTTAAAATGCAGTTTTAGATACTTGCTAAAGAATAATGGGGCTCTATTTTAACATAAAATAGACAGGCTGACTAGTCACATTTCTATTATAGATATCCCTACAGCACTAGTCAAAATAACAATGTTCCTAGTCAGATTTGTATTTTAGATATATCATGCATAATATATTTAATATATACATATTTTTGCTTGACTAGATAAGTATTTCAGATATCTTTATTAGTATTCCTCCTAAAGATCAGAGGATCAGTTTATACATCCAAAGTTGTCTCCAACTGGAATTGATCTTGACCAAATGTCCCAATTCAGCCAAATAAACTATAAAAGCTTAGAGGAAATCATTCAGCAGCTAAGTTCCTCCTCCTGCTGCCTTGATGTTCTACCCACAGCTTTCTTTAGGAAAGTTTTGCCTGTCATAGCATCTGATTTGACTCAGATAATAAACACGTCCTTTCTGTCAGGTGTTTTCCCGCAGTCCCTAAAAACAGCAAATATCAAACCACTGCTGAAAAAGAACAGTTTAGACAAACTACTACTGCAGAACTACAGGCCCATATCAAACCTCCCCTTTATCTGTAAGATTATTGAAAAAGCAGTGTTTCAACAATTAAACGCTTTCTTAGATATGACCAGCCACTTTGACGTCAGGTTTCCGTGCTCACCACAGTACAGAGACCGCCCTTATGAAGGTCTTTAAAGGAATAGTACACCCAAAACATGATTAGCCTTCATTTTCTACTCACCCCCATGCTGAACAACACTCTGGAGTACTTTTTTGATATCTCAAATGCATCTGGAGATCTGGGAGGCTTCTTGCTGTCTGCTGACATTCAAATAATGGAGGTCTATGGCGCCCGAGGCAGAAAGGTCCATAAAAGTCCACAAAAAACGTGTCAATATTCCTCCATACTGCTCGTCCAATGTATTCCAAGTGTCCTGAGTGGGTAGCATCCAGAATTTACTCGAAACAAAGTCATTTAGAATGTTTTTAGAGCATAAACAGTAGTGTATAGGATTTCCTAAAAGCGCGCACATGCGCGTTCACGACGCTACGGAAGCCGGCAGACCAAACCAGATGAAAGTGCACATTCAGCGTCTGCTCTGCCAATAATGCAAGCGTAGAAGAAGAAATGTGCTGTTTACCTGTGCAAAGAAAGAAACAACGAAAGAAAAATGTCTGAGGACTTCAGTGTTGAGGAAGAGCATGAGTTCTTTGTCGAGCTGAATGCGCACTTTCATCTGGTTTGGTCTGCCGGTTTCCGTAGACTCGTGAACGCGCTTTCAGGAAATCCTATACACTACTGTTTATGCTCTAAAAACATTCTAAATGACTTCGTTTCGAGTAAATTATGGATGCTACCCACTCAGGACACTTGAAATACATTGGACGAGCAGTATGGAGGAATATTGACACGTTTTTTGTGGACTTTTATGGACCTTTCTGCCTCGGGCGCCATAGACCTCCATTATTTGAATGTCAGCAGACAGCAAGAAGCCTCCCAGATCTCCAGATGCATTTGAGATATCAAAAAAGTACTCCAGAGTGTTGTTCAGCATGGGGGTGAGTAGAAAATGAAGGCTAATCATGTTTTGGGTGTACTATTCCTTTAATGACATCCGTATAAATACAGACTGCGGAAGAACCACAGTGCTGGTAATATTGGACCTCAGTGCAGCATTCGATACTGTAGATCACTCCATCCTGTTAGAGCGCCTGGAAAACTGGGTCGGCCTCTCTGGTACAGCTCTCAACTGGTTTAAATCTTACTTAAAGGACAGGGACTTTTTTGTGTCAGTAGGCAACTTTACATCAGAGATGACAAAAATCACATGTGGGGTTCCCCAAGGGTCCATCCTGGGTCCCCTCCTATTCAATATCTACATGCTCCCTATGGCTCAGTTAATAAAAAACAACAACATCAGCTACCATAACTATGCAGACGACACACAGCTTTACATCACCATGTCACCAGGTGACAATGAACCAGTTTAAGCACTGAGGAAATGCTGAGAAGAAATCAATGCCTGGATGTGCCATAATTTTCTTCAACTGAATAAAAACAAAACTGAAGTAATAATCTTTGGACCAATAGAGGAGAGATCTAAAGTTAGCACACAGCTTCAGTCGCTTCAGCTAGTAACCACTGATCAGGCCCCAAATCTAGGTGTATTGCTGGATTCAGACTTGAACCTCGAAAAGCATTTAAAGACAATTACAAGGTCGGCTTTCTATCACCTGAAGAACATTTCCAGGATTAAAGGACTAATGTCTCAGCATGATCTTGAAAAACTAATCCATGCGTTTATTTTTAGTCGAATTGATTACTGCAACGGTGTTTTCACAGGTCTGCCTAAAAAGTGGATCAGACAGCTGCAGCTGATCCAGAACGCTGCTGCCCGTGTCCTCACTAGGACTAAGACAGTAGAG